ATGCCTTAACTTTTGAAGTTTATTGTCGTTTGCGCGTTCAAATAATCTCACGGTGCCCTGATCTAGGCAATATATAATTTAGCGTAGTCAACCAAAGATCTTCACGGTCAACAAATGATGACGTCCTAAACTACCATTTGAAAATCTCGTTTCTAGTGAGAAATTTGAGAAAATTTTCTGGTCAAGTGAACCCGATTTTCTTTCCATAACACACAATCGTGTTTAGTGCCAGCTTATTTTTTCGCAACATGACTTTGGGTAATCGTAAGGTGTTGTTTTCTGTTAAGTCCAAGTCTGCGAAATTCCAAGAGTGTCCGTTGTTCGGAGCTAATCAAACACTCGTGAACTCACCTTCACTAAAGAGTATTTTCATACAGGATTACGAACGAAAGTGCATTTTGACATTTAGTAAATGCTAATCAAAATCCTAAAAAAATGAAAAAAGCGATTAAATTATTTGCCAAAATAGATCAACGATGTGACTATGTAGTGCATGGCTGTTTTCAAAAAAATTAATAAGTTTGCGGTACTTCGGAAAGGCCTGTCCTAATTTTCGGCGTGATTGATTCGAACTAGAAAGTATCTCTGGTTGACTCTCAATCAGGATAATGATTGAAAATAATGGCAAATTAAGAGAGCACTATTTCAGGCCAACGTACAGTTGATTCTATATTACCCAAACAGGGTCTGAGTCAACAATAAATTTACTGGTGTGGACTAGTGTTAAATATCGGGGTTATCTGACCAATCATTCATTGAACTCGTGTACAGTCTTGTGTATTCGGCTTGGGAGAGATAAAACAATCAGAACCAGATGCCATCTTGTCTGAATTCAAGCCTGTTCAAAGCGTTCTCTTGCTAGAAATATTTTTGGTCGACACGTTCACACTCCTGAGCGCACTGAAGCCCGTGTCACTGGTTTGGAGTGGAACCAGCGTTCAGGAAACCGGAAACTGATAGCACCATAGTTCGCACTCAATTTAGTTTTGTTTCACATGAGGGAACCACGAGTAGCTAACTGCATTCATTTACAAATGTGGTTAATTCTACCAGTGAATCCCTTGTTTGCGTTTTGCTACAAATAACTGGACGAATAAAAGTGATCTGATTATAAGGGTAATCGCGGTGTCCTAAATATAGACGCATACTTACTCTGTTGTTGGAGATGTGCAAGAGAGGAACATTTGTTGTACGAATTGGTATCGGCTGCAATCGCTGTTTGTAGAATACCACAAGAAGTCTTCTTTTCGCGTAGCGAATCAACCCGGTGTTTCCGGGAGCTGGAATGAGAAACTAATTAGTACAACATCCGTGATAATATCCAGATTCTATAATATACAAATTGTAAACAGTAGGTGTGGTGGAGAGGGTTTGCTATCCTGATTGGATCAATAAGTGGGTTCTTTGACATGTAAGCGGTAATAATGAGTGGATCTTGAAATGTGAAGTGGGCAATACTCCTCAACCAGAAATCATTATATCAACGCAGTGAACATTCTCATCATAACCACCTTGTTCATTGCGGGAACTCGCCTATAAACTCCTCTATAAACAGATTACCTTCACATCAAAACCAGCCTCAAGTCCCCCTCAAACTGTTCACCAATACAAACAGACTTGCAATTATGGTGTCCAATAAATGGTTTTCGCAAAAATTCCGTATGGATGGTGCAGTTTACGGATTCCCATGCACCGGTAGTCCAACGGACGACAGTTTGGTACACCAGGGGTACTCTGACGAAAAATCGAGTGCTACCTGTATTCTGCACAAAACAGTTTTTTTCTACGAAAGTGACGATGACGACGATGAGATGGTCGACATTACGTTTAGTATTGTCCTCGTGCTGTTCT